CTGATTGGACATTTAGTGGCACTGTGGCAGATCAGACGTCTAGATTACAACACTGATAACTACTGTTGCCGTGATATAATTGATTAGGAAAAAAAATCCCTTCCTTTTCCCGTTTGGCAGTGCGTCGCCCATATCGCCCTATTGAACACACCGCCCCTGCTTCAAGGTCTCAGAGCAATGGACATCACCAATTGAAATGCTACTAGCGCGCACTGCTAACTATCTAGCCATTTCACACCGGTTACACCTCATCCATGGCCTGAAGGAGAGTGGTACACTGATGGGGATGACAACCATACAGTTAAGGCCAAATATAGTTGAAATTGAAGAAAAAAAGTTGGGTTCTCCACACCTAGTTATTGGACTTTCAACATTGCAAAACCTGTTTTATTTTTGTAAACTCAAGTTTATTTTATAAAGACAAATGGCATGGACAAAGTTGTTGGTACCCCGGAGCTAGCAATTAGTTACACAGCCTTTGGCCAAGACAACTGCAGACAAATGCTTCTTGTAGCCATCATTGAGCTTGCTGCACCTTTCTACTGACAATTTGGCTCACTTTTCAGCAGCAAACTGCTCAATGTTAGAGGGATGGCCTCCACCAACTGCTGTTTTCAGCTCTTGCCATAGTTTATGGATGTGATTCAGATCTGAACTCTTCGTTGGCTACTCCAGAACAGTCCAGCGTTTCTTCCTGAACCATTCCCGGGGTGCTTTTGATGTGTGTTTGGGGTTGTTGTCCTGCTGGAAGATCCACAACCTTCAACAGATGCATTTTGGACCGTACAGTTATTTTTTTCAATTAAAATGGTCCAAAAGAAACAAAAATAGCTTATTAGCAAATAGCAATTACTGAAGCAAGAATTTTGCTAGGATTGTCTGGGAGTGATCTGAGTGGCCTAATTGGACGAGCCTAATGGAAGGGACCTGAAAACAAGCTGTTATTGGCAGAGAGGTTTGAAACTCTCTTTGTAATTGGTCTATTAACTTATACAGCCTGGTGATGTCACTAGGCAGTCCAAAACTCCATCTCACCAAAACAGGCTGAAATTTCAGGTGGTCTTTTCAATCCGCTCTTATACTAAAACGGCATTAGCATAATTTTCACAATTTCACAGTATTTTTCCAACATCATAGTATGGAAATATATATAAAACACAGGGAAATCATGTTTTTGATAGCACTGGGCCTTTAAATAGGCTTTATTGAAATGTTTGCCTCTGGGGGGTGCACTTGAGCCAAAAGGGGTCCCCTGCATGGACAGAAATATTTTCAATAAATTACCTCATTGGACAGAAAGGAGTTCACCTCCCCACACCCATGAGAAAAACTATATTTGTCTAAATTTAAGGATGTGTTTCGTAAAAATATTTTTTTATAAAAGGTTAGTCTGCCCATAAAAGCTGTATGGGAGACAATACATGGGGCATTGAGGTATCCGGTGCTTTTGCAGGATTCAAGCAGAAAATATATACGTAGATATATTTTTTTGGCAGTTAAAATAAGAGTCTTGTACTAGAGTTCCAGAATGCAATGTTTGAATTTAATCTGCAACATATGACGTGCAGCTTGTACCTGAATAGCCTGCTTTTCCTACTTGCAGACAACCAGTGTTTTTGTTAGTTTGCAGTGCTGTTTTCTACATTCTACCATCACAATGCCATTCATTCACTGTTGTTTCCAGCAGCCGCCATTCCATTGCAAATAGTCATTTTTATTGATTCAGTTTCAATTTCCAGGCATAATTTAATATGATACACATTCACTTGTAAACATAGATATTTCCCAGTCAGTCTGTAGCAATGTAAAGGCTATAAATGTTCGTTTTTTGAAACGGTCTCTAGGACAATTGAGCTAAAGGAAGTAATGATGACAAAAAAGTTTGAAGTATTTTGCGGTTCTCCAGTTACTGCTTGTTATTTAGTAATGTGCCTCTATGTGGAAGTTCTGACAGTATGCAGACTCATTATTGTGCAGCTCGCTCCTCTACAGCACATGTACTGATAGTGTGTTGCCCTCTAGTGCCAAACTGGGCTAAAAACAACATCTGTCCAATGCCCTCGGTTTTCTTCATAGATTAAGAACAAGGGCTTAAAATGAAAATGTAATAATTATAATGCAAAAATAAATGTTAAACAAAAATTTTTTTTTAGAGTGATTGTTGTATGCTATTATTAAAGACAAACATTTTATATTTTGAATGAATTGACAGGAGATTGCAGTCCATAATGGCCGTCCAGTATACACACAGTCAGTTAGCAGTAGTGACAAGTTTGTCTTTACTTTATTTCACCTTTTGATTAGAAACCTCAAATCAAACACTATGAAACAAAACAAATAGAAAAATGGCTAATAATAATAATAGCATATTGCTAGATTAAAACTCCAAAATGACATGACAAAAACAGATAAACCCACTATACATTTAAGTATATACAACCTTGCTAAATAACCAATAACCAAATTCTGTCTAGATTTATGATTGTTTTATTTGCTTTCCCTGTTATGTCTATGATCAGTCCGCTGAGACAAGGCTAGGGAAAACCTAACCAGGAAAACAGGGCGATGTGCTATGGAGCTATGGAAGCAGATTCTTGGCAAAAAAAACAACATTGAAATAACACTAATACTGATTAATAATTTGTCAATATCAATGCTTCTTTATTTTTGGCATGAATTTGCCTCCATAAATGAGGAAAAACATATGAATAACAGACAGCCAGGCACTGATCACGGAGTAGAGAAGGCTTTATGCACAAATAAAGCTGCATTTGCAGTAAACTGGATGAAATTGTGCTGCCATGTACAATTCCGCTTTAAAAACAAATAATGTATACCAAATTATAGTAAATTATGCCACATCTGGAGTTTACATTATGAGTGCTGACAGATTTGGACCCTCAGCGCGACTTGAGCGGTCTTGCGCTGGGAGAGTAGTTCCACCACTATGGAGCGTAATGGTACATTCCTGATCAGAGTAGTTCCACCACTATGGTGCGTAATGGTACATTCCTGATCTCAAATCCAATCCAACAAATATTCCGGGGTGTTCCAATTCCAGGAACGGACAATCCACTTGAACTGGCGAGCGTTGTTGCTTAACTGGAACGGCCTGAAAGCATCAATATTGTCAACAATAATATTGTTGTTCATCTTACTGGTATTATTACTGTCTTCCTAGTACAGTAAAGGATGCAACAGCCTATTTCAAATAAGTGAGAGAGCTATTCCAATGTATTTTGTTTTTTACAATGCTTTATGATGGTGAGGGTGGGTTGAAGAAGGTGAAACCTGGATTGTTCTAGCATTTTATACTGTATCTACAAATGAGGAAGGACATTTAAGAGTGCTCCTATGGGATAAAAAGATAGGTGAGGGCATCTTTGTTGCATTTAAGAGGTAAAAATAACCAGCTCGACTGAGAAAGACTGTCTTTGTGAATTAGCTAACCAGCAGCATGATAGGACACATCATGTGGACAATGACAAAGAATAGCATAAAATTATATTCTGTGTATGTTACAGCAAGAGAGAGAGAGAGAGAGAGAGAGAGAGAGAGAGAGAGGACAGAATAGAGGGATGGGGCAGACGAGGACAATACCTCAGTTTCCAGACACCTCAAATCTCTGTGAGCCCCTGAGTTACGCCCCGTACTGACTGACAGACACACATACACTCTCTCCAACAGACTCTCTAGTCCCCTGAATGGACCTCCAAGTCCAACAGGAAATGAAGAGCGATAGCTGAGCCCTAGCCCATAATCCCACAATAAGACCCTGTGCAAACCACACATCAGGGTAGTGTTCATTAGGGCACACAATGGAAAACCTGTTGCAATGGAAAACAAAAACGAGCACATCTTATTGGAGAAGTCAAGGTAGTCCCCACCTGTTTCAGTCCGTGTTCTTCCGTTTCGGTGCCTAATGAACACGACCCTGTGTTTAACAACCGTGTTTCTGAGTGTGTTTTTACAACAAAGTTAGCGCGTCCAAACTGCTGTCATACAACTGCGGTTACATATGAAGAACAAAGGTTCAGGGGCAAACAGGTATGGAGGAATATAGCTGTCAAAGTTCAATTATTGTCACAGATTATGTGCAAACATGTTCACTGTAAATTAACTCTCCTTCGGTTACTGAGTGACAGTTTGGACAGAGTCTAAGTTTATGAACTGTAATCTCTAAGTTTATCCTGATACAGACCGATCCAGAGCAAAGTAACAATCTCCTGAGGCAACTTCGACAGAAAGACTTCAAAAAAGTTTCTTCTCATTTTCTAAAAAAAATCTCAAATCGGTTGGCAATATAACCCATTCCCCCTCAGTCTTTCTAAAAATGTTATCAAAAACTAAAACCCAAAAGCTCAAGATTCTGAGGGAAATATATACAGTAGTAAGCTTTACAAACACACACGTTGCCCATCTTATTAAAGCACACAGAAAAGCATCTCACCTTTCTTTTTGAAAGCTAGTAAGAATATTTTGGTTGGGATGCCACAACAACTCCATCAGACCTGCTGAGTTTAGATAAGGTGTGTGTGTGTGTGTGTGTGTGTGTGTGTGCGCGCACGTGCGTATGTGTATGAGTTCAGTGTACGACATTGGTGTGTGTGAGAGTATGAGTTCAGTATGTGGGTGTGTGCACGTGTCTTTTTGAGGGAGGGGATCCATTTCACCCAAAGAGCGATAGACCCCCTCCTCCCAAAATACACAGAGCTGAGAGAGAGATAGTGGGCATTCAGCGACAGAGACAGGAGCAGGGGGAAGATTAGGAGGGGGAGGCTCTCCTCTCCAGCATGCTCCCTGTCCTGTTGGTTGGCTTGTAGAATCCCAAAGCTAGAGCCTATCCCAGAGAAATGCTGACCGAGGCCAGAGGCCCTAGCCCCTAGTCTGCAGCCCCAGCCCCAACCCCGTCCCCAGGCCTGAAAGCACAAGTCTCAGGGTCTCAGCAGGATCGGTCCAAACTCTCTCAATGGGGGGAAGAGGAGGAGTCCTGAGCAGCTCTAGTGTCGCTTCATGGAGGAGACCTTCTTCTTGCGGGTGGCCAGCATCTCATAGAAGGGATCCCTGCTGATGGCAGCTCTGTGAGGGTGGGGGTAGAAGGGGGGTAAGTGAGTACGCTCCCCTGGTGGGATAACAGTTTGCCCTCATTTACACTGTAAATATAATCTGGGGTGCCCTGCAATTTCCCAGGTTCCTAGTTTATTATCAATGGTGTATGATGGAAAGGAACAGAGGTCAAAAATAATCTATGAGTAATCTTTGGATTACACATCAAATGAAGAGGGATAACGGGGTAACACTTTCTTTGACTAGTATCTAAATTAGGGCTTTGTAACCCATCCATAACTCATCCATAACAAAATCACAACACATCCATAACCCAGTCATAGCTTGTTGATAAGCAGTACTACAGACTTGATGCTGTTCATCCACTCGTCCTTCTCCTCAGTGGTGGGAGCAGAGATCCTGTAGAAGGTGTGGTTCCCCTCCACCACCCTGCCGTCCGCCTCCGTCTTACAGGCCTTGATCACCTGGTCCTTGTTCTCTGGGATGAAGAGCTCAAAGCAGTTCTACGCAGAGGAGAGGAGAGTGAATCTTAAATTGTATTTTCTTAATTCCTCAGGTCCTCCCTCCTCATCTTCTCAAAACACATTGGAGCAGAAGATCTAAGGTTCCTCCCCTCGGGTCTTCTCCTCCAAAACATTTTGAGAATGAGGCAAGGAGAGAGAATGTGAGGAATGCCACAACTGTGTCCGAAATGCTGAGTTTAATAAGGTGTGTGTGTTCCTGCGGGCACGTGTGTTTAATCAAGGAAGTACAATTGAGATGAACCCAAGCTGTGTTATTATGTGCTGTGCCACACTACCACCAGGGGGAGACAAAGTCTCGTCTGAGACATTACTGAACTGTAATCTCTCCTTTCTATCGAAGTGTGCACTTGTTCACTTCCCTTCATAGATTTGGAAGGACATTACTGCAATATGGAAACTCCCTCTAGCCCATGTTTACACCAATCCAATGCGGTCCAATTTGTGGGGAGTAGTAAACGGGTGCACAGGAGGAAGGGGATTATTGGGCTGTACCCCTCGATCTTGTTCCTTTCAACCCCTGAACACTAACAGGATGGATCACTCCAAAATCAGTTTGTCATATCTTGCAGATCTCAGAAGTGAACTCATGTCAATATTTGTCCATGTCACACATCATTGGTTGTGTTGATCAGCTATATGCCTCAATCCCAAATGAATGGGAGATTAAATAACCGTCTTATTTCCTGATCATATTTCCTGATCATTTTCCTGATTATATTTAGAATAAGATCAATAAATTTGACGGTGCTTTTATCTCGCGTGTGTGTGTATTTAATAACCAGAAGTCCTCACAAGGATAGCAAAACGATGACATTTTGCCAGTCCCCACAATATTTTTTAAAATTTTAGGCTTAGAGGTTAGGTTTAGGTTTACAATTAGGGTTAGAATTAGGGTTGAGGTTAGGTGTTAGGGAAAATAGGATTTTGAATGGGAATCATTTGTTTGGTCCCCAAAGGATAGTTATGTGGTCGATCCAGCAGAGGGTGCAGTGTGTGCTTACAGGCTTCTTGTCCTCCACCTCCCGGATGCTGAGGTTCTCCAGCGGAATGATCCCTCTGGGCTCTTTGTCCTATAGGACAGAAACATGGACGTTAAGATGAATCTGTTAAGAGGACAGAAACATGGACGTTAAGATGAATCTGTTAAGAGGACAGAAACATGGACTTTAAGATGAATCTGTTAAGAGGACAGAAACATGGAAGTTAAGATGAATCTGTTAAGAGGACAGAAACATGGAAGTTAAGATGAATCTGTTAAGAGGACAGAAACATGGAAGTTAAGATGAATCTGTTAAGAGGACAGAAACATGGAAGTTAAGATGAATCTGTTAAGAGGACAGAAACATGGAAGTTAAGATGAATCTGTTAAGAGGACAGAAACATGGAAGTTAAGATGAATCTGTTAAGAGCACAGAAACATGGAAGTTAAGATGAATCTGTTAAGAGGACAGAAACATGGAAGTTAAGATGAATCTGTTAAGAGGACAGAAACATGGAAGTTAAGATGAATCTGTTAAGAGCACAGAAACATGGAAGTTAAGATGAATCTGTTAAGAGCACAGAAACATGGACGTTAAGATGAATCTGTTAAGAGGACAGAAACATGGAAGTTAAGATGAATCTGTTAAGAGGACAGAAACATGGAAGTTAAGATGAATCTGTTAAGAGGACAGAAACATGGAAGTTAAGATGAATCTGTTAAGAGGACAGAAACATGGAAGTTAAGATGAATCTGTTAAGAGGACAGAAACATGGAAGTTAAGATGAATCTGTTAAGAGCACAGAAACATGGAAGTTAAGATGAATCTGTTAAGAGGACAGAAACATGGACGTTAAGATGAATCTGTTAAGGACTGCTGTGGGACATGGCTTAAAATACAGACAGCAAAATGTGGTGGGTACTAAAGGGATATTACACTACAAAATGTTCAGACCAAGATGTGTCAAACATCCTGGGATATTGATTGTGTAGATTCAGCTGATGAGTTGATGCCTCAACCCCAAATGAATGGAAATTATATGCACCTCAAATCTGGAAATGATATGATGCTTATCTTTTCCATTTATTTGGGATTGGGGCATGTAGCTGGATCTACACGACAGATGGCCTGGGAGATGGACTTACCTCAACATTACACCACTTTTGAGGTCTGGAAACATCTGACTTTTTATTTTATTTTGAAGTGCAATGTCCCTTTAATAAGTACCCAATTAAGCGGAATATGTCCGTTTTTGGTGAATAACTACAGGTGAGTGGGAAAAGGTAAGTGTTAGGTTGTTTTGTGAGTGGAATATCCCTGTTAATGACAATACTCTGAATAATTGTTTTAACATTTACATAGTCATTTAACAGACACTCTTATCCAGAACAATTTGGGTTAAGTGCCTTGCTCAAGGGCACATTGACAGATTTTTCACCTAGTCGGCTCAGGGATTCGAACCAGCAACATTTCGGTTACTGGCCCAACGCTCTTAACCGCTAGGCTACCTGTCGCCGATGAATACACAGTAGAGCAGTGAACAAACAGTAGAGCAGTCCACAGCAGAGCAGTACACAACCAGAACAGGTTACAGTGTGACAATGTGTTGTAACTTGCAACTGTAATATCCATCATAATAGTCATGTATTTATGTGTGCCTGTTGCAGACATTTAAGATTTATTGAATTGAACATGATAACTGAGGAACATAGGCTTCCAGTTCCAGTCCAGTACTTACAGTGGTGTGCTCAAAGTAATACGGACAGTTGTACTTACAGTGGTGTACTCAAAGTAATACAGACAGTTGTACTTACAGTGGTGTACTCAAAGTAATAGACAGTTGTACTTACAGTGGTGTACTCAAAGTAATACAGACAGTTGTACTTACAGTGGTGTACTCAAAGTAATACAGACAGTTGTACTTACAGTGGTGTATTCAAAGTAATACAGACAGTTGTACTTACAGTGGTGTACTCAAAGTAATACAGACAGTTGTACTTACAGTGGTGTATTCAAAGTAATACAGACAGTTGTCCTTACAGTGGTGTACTCAAAGTAATATAGACAGTTGTACTTACAGTGGTGTACTCAAAGTAATACAGACAGTTGTCCGTGAGAATGAACCATCTTCTCTTCCAGGTTTTGACGCGTCCTCCTGAGGAATAGAGAAACGGTGTTAGCCAGACTCAGTGGAGAGAGAGAGAGAGGGATGAGCACCGGACAGCGGAGGGCAGAGCAGCAGACAGGCAGACAGACAGACGCATGGATAGACAGACAGGCAGATAACAGGTATAGAACTACAACTCCCATCTCCCTACATTCCCTATCAAGCACCGTACAGTACAGTACCTTGCTCCTCCTACAACCCACACCATAGCATCCATACAACCAGTTATTCTGCTCCACATGAGGGAGAAGCACGAGGTTACGGAGGAGTTCTGTTGAGTAAACTGGGCCAAGGTATTCTGTAATCGCCTTTTTACACTAGTGTGCCAACCTGTTGGCTCGGATATGCTCTTTTCACATTTTCCTTTCAGTACGGTTCCAGCAACTATGGTGGATGCATAAACAGGCCAGCTCAGTACAGCTTGGTTCGGCTCGGCTCTGTAGTGAAAAGCCCTTAGCCATATAGATTAGACAGAGCAGTATATCATGTTTAATACTGTGTCTGAAACCAGAGTGCTCATTTTAACTGTCCCACCTCTCCTCAGTAGCTCCTCAGTATAGCTGACTCAGGACTTACAGACTCTCTCAGAGTAGACAACTTCTAAAGGAGATCAACAGTCTCTCTCAGAGTAGACAACTTCTAAAGGAGATCAACAGTCTCTCTCAGAGTAGACAACTTCTAAAGGAGATCAACAGTCTCTCTCAGAGTAGACAACTTCTAAAGGAGATCAACAGTCTCTCTCAGAGTAGACAACTTCTAAAGGAGATCAACAGTCTCTCTCAGAGTAGACAACTTCTAAAGGAGATCAACAGTCTCTCTCAGAGTAGACAACTTCTAAAGGAGATCAATAGCTGCGATATAAAACCAAACACTTGTTAAAGTTTAGACCTCCAGGAGTTAATGAGATCCTACCACGGGGAATGTTAAATAGTACTACTAACAATTATTATTATTATTATTATTATAAAACTTGGCCCTAACTGAGCTCCTACTATTGGAAATCACAAGCGGGATACTAGTTGGAAAAAAGACAAGAAGAAATCTAATTATAAAACTATAGACTAAAAAAAGAACTTCCTCTGAATGTCACAAATGATTAGGGGTTGCCTGTTTTTTCATGGCCTGCATGGCTCAAATCCTTTGCCTCTTTCATGCCCGGCGGGGTGTCTCTGGTTAACTCAGCAGCTCATTGATCTGTGGCCAACCCCCGACCACCCACACTAACTGTTAGGGAGTGTTACGTGTGACGTGTTTTTCTATCTCCCCATTTTCCTGTGTAGTATGTTTGTGTGTTCTGGCATTACAGGTGTGCTGAGTTGCGGCTGATGATGGTGGGCGTGGCTTCGGCCCGCCCTCCTGGCAGCTGTAGCTGATTGATGAGAGTATACCTGTTTGCCGTGTGAGCTCGAAGAGAGGGGGAGAGGACACTTATATAATAATAATAATAATAATAATAATATAATATGCCATTTAGCAGACGCTTTTATCCAAAGCGACTTACAGTCATGCGTGCATACATTTTTTTGTGTATGGGTGGTCCCGGGGATCGAACCCACTACCTTGGCGTTACAAGCGCCGTGCTCTACCAGCTGAGCTACAGAGGACCACAAGTTGTTGGTCCACTTGTTGTTTGGCTGTGTTAATTTATCTTTGTTTGTTTTCCAGCCTGTCCTCCTGATGTACTCCACCCTACCTAGGTCCTGGAGAAGGGAAAGGTAGATTTACATTTACATTTTAGTCATTTAGCAGACGCTCTTATCCAGAGCGACTTACATGAGCAATTAGGGTTAAGTGCCTTGCTCAAGGGCACATCGACATATTTTTCACCTAGTCGGCTCAGGGATTAGAACCAGCGACCTTTCGGTTACTGGCACAACGCTCTTAACCACTAAGCTACCTGCCGCTAGATCTGCCCATGGGTGTACATTCCCACGTAGATAACCCATTGTTTTATACACTAGGTTAGCCGGGCGGGTGTCACCCCTGTATTTTTTGGTAAACAGGCAGGAAAGTGGGTTAGGGTTAGAGTGTGATAGGAAGGTTTAGGTGTGTAGAAGAGGGACCTTTTGTTTATTTTCATTAATTGGACCCCGTTCCCAAATATTCTCTTCGCTTACCTTCCCTGGTTTATTTGATTGATTTGTTGTTTCTTTATGGGTGTTGTTTATATTGTTTAAAGTACCTTACTAAACGTCCCCTGAGGGCTAACCTTGAGATCTGGTTGTTGTCTGGTTATTTTAGTTCATTACACCCCACCTTCTTCCCCATCCATCTAGTTTACCTTGTATGAGCAGGCAAAGGCATTTACTTCTCCTCCTCAGACGAACTACACCCGAGGGGAGAACGTAACAGGGAGAAACCTGATCACAGCAGCAGATGGCAGCTAGCTCACGCTGGGAGGATGAGATGCCGATAAACAGTGTCATGGGGGGACAGGAAACTGGAGCTAGCCTGGAGCTATGCTATGCTAGTAGGCTACTCACTCTATTGTTATCTCTGGCTGGAACTTCCTGTTTAAACTAGTGAAGGGCTAGTCGTTAAAGACACTATGGAAGATTAGTTGCTATTTTTCACGTCACATAGTTTTGGCTTGAATACTGGCCGTATTCACAATGATATATGATATAACACCAATCAATTTATTGTCTGAAGACACCTTTCTGTCCAATTAGGTCATTTCTGGACAATATTTCTGTCAGTTTAGGGGACCCCTTTTGGCTCCTCTTTAAGTCTAAAGATCCACCATCAAAACATAATTGTATCAATACAACGTGTACATGGACACACACCTACATGCTCTAGGAGTAAACACGATATATGGCATTTTTGATTAAAGACAAATCAACATGATGATATAAAGGCATGTCTGGCTGTTCTATGTCTGGACCCTACTGAGAGTTTTACATGATCGTTGAGCTGCTACACCACCACCAACGTTAGTATGAAGACGCACTAAGAAAACCCATCTACCAAGACAGAAGAGCTGTGTTGTTGACAGAAGTGTTGATCATATAGCAGCGATGCTACTGTATATGATAACCTATCACACTACAGAGGTCATGATAGGGCACTTAAACACTCTCCGTCCCGATATCCAAATACTAGCACACTTCTTAGTATGAAACAATGTATTGGGCAGCGGAGGCTGCTGAGGGGAGGACGGCTCATAATAATGGCTGGAACGGAGCAAATGGAATGGCATCAAACACATGGAAACCATGTGTTTGATACCATTCCACTTATTCTGCTCCAGCCATTACCACGTGCCAGTCCTCCACAATTAAGGTGCCACCAACCTCCTGTGGTATTGGGCAGGTATTCTAAGTAGTGGGCTAGTATGGACATTGGAACATGGCTACAAACACGTTCTCCTTGCCACCATTTTGTCACTGTGTTATCGTCATCATGTCCTCAGAATGTGACATATGAATGTTGGAAGCGACACTTGACAGACAGAGAGTCATGTAGAGACAAATGGCAGAATCTCACAGCTGATGATATGACAGTTGATTGGCTTGGAGGAGATTGTGATTGATTGATGATTGGTTGATCACTTCAGTTCCTGTCAGTCACTCAGAAAGCGAGGACCCTGGCAAAAAATGTCCCGGACAAGGCGGCCCGAGGAGATTTTTGTTGGGCGGTGCCGGCGGGTCAGGGGGTGCTGGGCTGGGGAGGTGTGGAGGAGGAGGAGCGATCGCCCATGCACATAGGGGGTCAGAACAGAGGGGGTGGGCAGTGAGGGTTAGGAGGGACCTGGGTCGTGTTTAGTAAGGAGAGAATGTTTTGAAATGAAGTGAAACAGTGAGGTACTGTAACAGCTGAATGTGTTCAATAAGAAAACAGATTTTTGTTTTGCAATGCTGTGCCCCACAGAACATGACCCAGGACATTTTCAGCACTAGTCTCTTTCGACCACCAGCTTCAAGTCAGATAACATGTATTTTATAATTGTGTCATATTCTGATTAACATGGGCAACTTGGTTGTCAAAATTCCTTTTAAATTAACGAGGAAGACCTCAGGATTTACATGACAAGTAAAATGTGCTTTCCTTGGTCTCATCAGATGATTCAATCTCTATTCCTAAACACAATAGCTAGAATGTAGCCTATATTCTAAACACTAATCATGTAGTGCACTTATGCATGGTTCTATAGATGGCACCCAGTCCTCACTCCCCTCCTAACCTCCCCTTCTCAACACACATCCCCCATTCTCCATTCTCCCCACACCCACCTCACTGCAGTCCAGTCCAGCACCACACCAAACCAGACCTGGGATCACAGTAGTTGTTTTCTTTCAAATACTTTCAGCGTTTGAGTGATCCTGCCTGGAGGGTTTTGCACTTTTAGTTCCATTGTGCGAGGCACGCTCAATCAAGCGCTGCTGAAGTATTTGGAAGAAAACAGATGTTATTTGAACCCAGGTCTGCACCAGGCCAGGCCAAAGCCATACCAGACCAAAGCCAGACCAGGCCAGGCCAAAGCCACAGCAGACCAAAGCCACACCATCACCCTTCAGGTCCATTAACAGCATGACAGAGAGAGCAGAGCTGGAGCCAGTTGGTGTAGCTGCAGTATTCCATTCATATGATCCCATTAAAGAGCTAACAACAACAGACATTGTTCTTGTGAGGTCAGAACTTCTGAGAATCCTAACATGATTTACTATTCACGATCTAAAATGCTGGTACATTTTGAATAGGTTCCTAAATGGTAGTTAATAGGTTGCTAATTCAAAACTAACTTAATTCGTAGATCTGTCTTCAAACCCTTTGTCGTGCTCTTTCTAGAAAGAGGAATACTGCAGCTCGCCAAAACACGGAGACTGAAAAGGTAAATCACCACAGCATAACGGTGAGGTCAAACTCGTCACTACGGTGGGCACAAAACAAAATGGCCGCCATGTTGTTCCCCAAGCGGCCTAACCAGGCAAAGCACCTAGCAACCGCCCAGCGACCAACACAGAGAGAGAGAGAAGCACGTGGACACACCACCAGCTCAATGGAAGACCAACAAACAAACATACAAACATACAAATAAAACTAGATTCAGTCGATAATGGCGGAACAAGGAAACCCAACAGCAACAAAATCCACAAACAAAAAAACAAAAACGTTAAAAGCGTACAACAGAAATAAATGAGGGAGAACGGAAGCAATGGTGGACCACCGAAAGCACCGGAGAGCTGAGAAGATGGACTAGTTTTTGGGAAGAGCAGATGTACATACCTCCTGGGGAAAGACAACAGCCAAAATCATGGGAACAAACAAACAAACGAGGAAGAAAAAGAAAACAAAAATCAAATTAAATTATTTAAAAAATCATAGCACCACTTCTTGCTCATCTGATTGGAGGAGTGGCTCAATGCACTGGTTTACAATGTTGGCACTCAGAGGAACAACCCTTCAAAAACGCATTTTGATATTTAGTAAATTCATCAAGTTACACATTGTTATATTATCAGATTTGATGAAGACGTATCAGTCTCAGAGCCTTATTTAGATTATGATTATTATAGGCTCTCAATAGAAGGCTCTGGGATAAGTGGAGTTATTCTGGAGTACATTTATAACCACCAGAGGAGGCTTCTGCTCACCCCAAATCATTTCAGTTCAATGCATTGTTACACTGGTGCCAACTTCTGTAAAACAACGCATTGCACAGCACCACCTCTAGTGTCCCAGTCCATTCAGGCCAATTATTTAACCTTCCAAATGCATTGTTACACTGGTGCCAACTTCTGTAAAGCAACGCATTGCACAGCACCTCCTCTAGGGTCCCAGTCCATTCAGGCCAATTATTTAACCTTCCACCCAAATTAGTAGCACCTGAATGTCAATATTCCCAGTTATGTATCACTGGAGTGTGATTGTAGTCTTCTTCATTTTACTGGAAGGGTGCTAAAGACTCACACTGATTAGGGGTTTCAATTCAGGTTCAGGGTCCTGTTCATTAGGCACCAAACGGGAGAACATGGAATGAAACAGGGAGGCACTACCTACTGGACTTGTCCAATAAGAAACGCTAATTTTAATTTTCCATTGTGGCTAATGAACATGGCCCAGATTATTGTGAATTTATATCAGAGTCATTGTGAATCCATCCAAACAGAGAGCGTAAGATCCACTGGGAAACAGACAGGGTGGAGAGTTAGGAAGTCCGTACGTCTCTGTTAGATCACAGGACATAATGTGGTTCTCTTTGCTGGAAGACTGATCATTGGGAAGTCCTGGAAGAGTAATTGTAACATTAGAGGGGAAGGAAGCATAGTAGTGTGTTCACAGGTTTATACTCCACTGTACAGGTTGTCTCTCTATGTCCAGAATGTGCAGCTATCTGTCTGTCTGTCTGTCTGCCTGTCTGTCTGTCTGCCTGTCTGTCTGTCTGCCTGTGTATCATGTGTAGGTAAGAGTGTGTGTATGTGTGCGTCTATGCGTGAGTGAGTGTATGACTATGCCTAGTCGTGCATTACTGAAAGCCCTCCACATGTGGTCGTCTGATCTCAGGGCCTCATCCATAATGCATTGGGGTGGGCAGAGGCCCCTCAAATACTGTATATGGATTGAACACACACACACTCACACACACACACACACACACAGGCAGTCTGATCGAGATGGGCTCATTGGTCAGTCTGTAGGCCTCTGTTTCACTCTGATAGAATCCATCACACCTTCCCTACCATCATAGACAGTGATAAACACAGTCATCGATGGGCACAGTAATATTGGTGAGGATTGGAGAGGATACAGGCCTTTGGGATTTCTAACTGTACAACAGTTATTTCAAGATTATTTCAATGCTTCAACAACGTTATTTAAACGTTCTGAAGGTTATTTCAGCGTCTAGTCCTGCTCACCCAGTTTAAGCAGCCAGCCCTCCCGGTCTGGGTTAAAGAAGGTGTGTGTGAGATCGTTCCCGTCGTCCTCAGGGATTTTGAAGGGCTCGTTCTTGATGCTGTCATACAGGTTCTGTGGGGAGGAGAGAGAAACACTAGGACTTGAGTACAGATAGATACAGAGAGGGGGTTGAAGAGGAAGGTATAGGACCCCTGGGGCAGGGGGATCTGATGGGATCAGGAGTGAGATGGAGGGATGGAGAGACAGATGGAGGGATGGAGAGACAGATGGAGGGATGGAGAGACAGATGGAGGGATGGAGAGACAGATGGAGGGATGGAGAGACAGATGGAGGGATGGAGAGACAGATGGAGGGATGGAGAGACAGATGGAGGGATGGAGAGACATATGGAGGGATGGAGAGACATATGGAGGGATGGAGAGACAGATGGAGGGATGGAGAGACAGATGGAGGGATGGAGAGACAGATGGAGGGATGGAGAGGTCTCGTTGATGCCTCTGTTCACACACCCTGAGTAGGTCCTCTGGAAGGTCTCCTCCATCGTTGATTCCTCTGTTCATGGAGATGAAGCGCTCCACTGCCGGCTTGTCCTTCACGTTGGGGTTGTGGAGGCTGGTGTTCAGCATGATGATAGCAAACGACAGGATGTAACAGGTGTCTGGAGAAAAACACACACACACACAGACACAAGCATTCAGGAACACACACAGGCACACACACACACACACACACACACACACACATTTGCAAATTGGGACCCCAACATTGTCATACAGATAGATTCATGGACACAGTCCCAGAAACAGAAAGTACTGTCTCCACTTACAGTTAGTGAGTGCATACATTTTCACCACACAGCCGACACACAATTTATACTGGTGTGATTGATGGTCAGCTGCGGTGTTCGCAAATATAAAGTGATACCACGTCTCTGGGACAATAGCATAGAAAATGTAAATTACTGGAGCTGAAAGAATTGCTCTTTGTGGACTAGATTCAGATAGATAGAGAGAAACCTCGTTAAGGAAGAGAGTGAGGTGGACAGACATGAAAGAGTGTGTTGGTCGCTAAGTGTGTGTGTGTCGCTCAGTGTGTGTGTCGCTCAGTGTGTGTGGTGTGTGTGTCCATGTGTACATGCAGGTGCGTGCAGAAAGACAATGTGGTCAGAGGCTGGCTGACACAGCAGCAGCACTTTCCATTATCTGGCCTGTTTGACTCAGAGAGAAGGTCATGAATTATTTCCATCCGTCTGCATCCATGTTCCAAGCAGCCCGTTTGCCACGGACATTATGTCCCCGTGAACACACCAGATAAATATAATAATAATAATATAATATGCCATTTAGCAGACGCTTTTATCCAAAGCGACTTACAGTCATGCGTGCATACATTTTTTTTGTGTATGGGTGGTCCCGGGGATCGAACCCACTACTTTGGCGTTACAAGCGCCGTGCTCTACCCATACCCTTCCCATACCCTTCCAGTAAACACTTCACCATGCCTGGGTTCCCTATCTATACTGAACAAAAATATAAACGCAACATGCAAACAATTTCAAAGATTTTGCTGAGTTACAGTTCATATAAGGAAATCAGTCAATTGAAATGAATTCATTAGGCCCAAATCTATGGATTTCACATGACTAGGCATAGGCCCACCCACTTGGGAGCCAGGCCCAGCCAATCAGAATTAGTTTCTCCCCACAAAAGGGCTTTATTACAGACAGAAATACTCTTCAGTACCCCCTGTGGTTACACATGATCTGCGGTTGTGAGGCCGGTTGGACGTACTACCAAATTCTCTAAAATGACGTTGAATGCGGCTTATGGTAGAGAAATGAACATTTTATTCTCTGGAAACAGCTCTGGTGGATATTCCTGCAGTCAGCATGCCAATTGCACACTTTCTCAAAACCTGAGACATCTGTGGCATTGTGTTGTGTGACAAAACTGCACATTTTAGAGTGGCCTTTTATTGTCCCCAGCACAAGGTGTGCCTGTGTAATGATCATGCTGTCTGTCAGGTGGATGGATTATCTTGACAAAGGATAAAATGCTCCCTAACAAGGATGTAAACAGATTTGTGCACAAAATTTGAGAGAAATACACTTTTTGTGCGTATGGAACATTACGGGGATTGTTTATTTCAGCTCATGAAACATGGGACCAACACTTTACATGTTGCGTTTATATTTTTGTTCAGTATATATATATATATTTTTTTACAAATACTTTGAGCGTTTGCTCTAGCCTGCCTGAAGTGAAAGATGGGCGAGGTTTGTAGTATTGGGACTGTTCTATTGGTCCATTAAGCCAAGCAAGCTCAATCAAGCGCAGATTAAGTATTGATTTTGAATAGTCTTTGAACACAAGTCTGCACTTCACCATGCCTGCTAAATACAGTAGGAATAATACTGCTAGAATGGCATTCACATCCTATTGTACCTGCACACTGGAGAATAACATCTTCCTCTTTGAAAAGTGCATCAGTGAACACAGACTTGTTGGAGTGGGATACCCTATAACAGGGGTATACAGTAACTTCAGATCTAAAATTCATACTGTATATCCATTCACCACTTCACCCTCAGTAGACACTTCAAATGGTACCCTTCAATCGCCCATCACCATGACAGGCGGTAACCCTAGCTCTAACAATGCTTTAGTGTAAATCGTGTTGACTCTTCACTACATGCCTGGTAATGAGGTCCAAGCCTGTGTTCCTACCTGTGGACTGGAAGACACCAGGGTTGCACTGGCAGTATCTCTGGGCGAATGCCTCCATCATGCGGTCGATCTTCTGGGCCTCGCCAGGCAGCCGGAAGCTCCACAGGAACTGTCTGTCAGGGGAGGAGAAAGAGAGCTTAGTCAGTAATACCATCTATTAACTACTAACTTTGTCTAAATACCAAATGGCACCCTACTTTCTACGTAGTGCACTACTTTTGACCAGTAGGTTGATACACATATTTAGATGACTGAAGGCCTTTGTTAACTACTGATGAGGGTGTGAAAGTGGGACAATTTTTTCTCATGTAAAGTAAGTAAGCCTTGTCTGAGCCAGAACGGCTCCTGTTTGCTTTATCTAACTTAGAGAAATGCACTCTGGTTAAGAGTGTCTACTAAATAACCAACATGTAAACGGTCAAGTAGTGCACTCTATAGGGAATTAGGGTGCATAGTTGGGACAAATCCTAACTTGTTGTATCCATACTATATTAGCCCTGCAGTTCTCTTCTGTCTTGGTAGATGGGTTTTCTTAGTGCGTCTTCATACTAACATTGGTGGTGGTGTAACAGCTCAACTACTATCTAATAACTATTCTGTGAAGTGCTGTGTTACAGTATGTTATGGCTGGTACAAGTGTGTAAGGAAGTAAGTAGCCTTCCACGAGCCGTGGCTAATGCTAGATGGAACAGCTTATAGGAGCAGGAGTCTATCTCATGTTTATGTAGACTGAAGCAGGTGTACAGGTACACCCCCTGGACAGGAGGCTAGTCTATCTACCTCCTGTTTCTGTAGTGAGGCAGCTTGATGTACAGGTACACCCCCTGGACAGGAGGCTAGTCTATCTACCTCCTGTTTCTGTAGTGAGGCAGCTTGATGTACAGGTACACCCCCTGGACAGGAGGCTAGTCTATCTACCTCCTGTTTCGTAGGGCATTGATGTACAGGTAAGGATTGCTATCTAAAACTACCTTTTTCCGTATAAGCAGCTTGCATGTACAGGTAATGGAAGAGGAGATTACTTCTGTTTTGGGCAGTTTAGTAAAGTCACCCCTGACAGATGAGTTAACACAACGTTCTGGTAAAAGGGCAAGCTTTTATTCAGGAGGATAAGGGTAGTTATCGTAGGCTTACAAGGCAATGCCCTGTATCAGGAAGATAAAGATTAAAGGTTTTGGTAACACAGGACAATAACCCTATTCAATGGATTAAAGCAACGTTAGGTAACTTTAAGGACAATGGTGTATCAGGAGGATAAAGATAACGTTAGGTAAAATAAAGGACAATGGTTATCAGGAGGATAAAGATAACGTTAGGTAACTATAGGACAATGGTATCAGGAGGATAAAGATAACGTTAGGTAACTACAGGACATGGTATCAGGAGGGTAAAGATAACGTTAGGTAACTATAGGACAATGGTATATCAGGAGGATAAAGATAACGTTAGGTAACTATAGGACAATGGTATATCAGGAGGATAAAGATAACATTAGGTAACTATAGGACAATGGTATATCAGGAGGATAAAGATAACGTTAGGTAACTATAGGACAATGGTATATCAGGAGGATAAAGATAACGTTAGGTAACTATAGGACAATGCTGTATCAGGAGGATAAAGATAACGTTAGGTAACTATAGGACAATGGTATATCAGGAGGATAAAGATAACGTTAGGTAACTATAGGACAATGGTATATCAGGAGGATAAAGATAACGTTAGGTAACTATAGGACAATGGTACAGTGGGGAAAAAAAGTATTTAGTCAGCCACCAATTGTGAAAGTTCTCCCACTTAAAAAGATGAGAGAGGCCTGTCATTTTCATCATAGGTACACGTGAACTATGACAGACAAAATGAGATTTTTTTTCTCCAAAAAATCACATTGTAGGATTTTTAATGAATTTATTTGCAAATTATGGTGGAAAATAAGTATTTGGTCAATAACAAAAGTTTCTCAATACTTTGTTATATACCCTTTGTTGGCAATGACACAGGTCAAACGTTTTCTGTAAGTCTTCACAAGGTTTTCACACACTGTTGCTGGTATTTTGGCCCATTCCTCCATGCAGATCTCCTCTAGAGCAGTGATGTTTTGGGGCTGTCGCTGGGCAACACGGACTTTCAATTCCCTCCAAAGATTTTCTATGGGGTTGAGATCTGGAGACTGGCTAGGCCACTCCAGGACCTTGAAATGCTTCTTACGAAGCCACTCCTTCGTTGCCCGGGTGGTGTGTTTGGGATCATTGTCATGCTGAAAGACCCAGCCACGTTTCATCTTCATTGCCCTTGCTGATGGAAGGAGGTTTTCACTCAAAATCTCACGATACATGGCCCCAATCATTCTTTCCTTTACACGGATCAGTCGTCCTGGTCCCTTTGCAGAAAAACAGCCCCAAAGCATGATGTTTCCACCCCATGCTTCAGAGTAGGTATGGTGTTCTTTGGATGCAACTCAGCATTCTTTGTCCTCCAAACACGACGAGTTGAGTTTTTACCAAAAAGTTCTATTTTGGTTTCATCTGACCATATGACATTCTCCCAATCCTCTTCTGGATCATCCAAATGCACTCTAGCAAACTTCAGACGGGCCTGGACATGTACTGGCTTAAGCAGGGGGGCACGTCTGGCACTGCAGGATTTGAGTCCCTGGCGGCGTAGTGTGTTACTGATGGTAGGCTTTGTTACTTTGGTCCCAGCTCTCTGCAGGTCATTCACTAGGTCCCCCCGTGTGGTTCTGGGATTTTTGCTCACCGTTCTTGTGATCATTTTGACCCCACGGGGTGAGATCTTGCGTGGAGCCCCAGATCAAGGGAGATTATCAGTGGTCTTGTATGTCTTCCATTTCCTACTAATGGCTCCCACAGTTGATTTCTTCAAACCAAGCTGCTTACCTATTGCATATTCAGTCTTCCCAGCCTGGTGCAGGTCTACAATTTTGTTTCTGGTGTCCTTTGACAGCTCTTTGGTCTTGGCCATAGTGGAGTTTGGAGTGTGACTGTTTGAGGTTGTGGACAGGTGTCTTTTATACTGATAACAAGTTCAAACAGGTGCCATTAATACAGGTAACGAGTGGAGGACAGAGGAGCCTCTTAAAGAAAAAGTTACAGGTCTGTGAGAGCCAAAAATCTTGCTTGTTTGTAGGTGACCAAATACTTATTTTCCACCATAATTTGCAAATAAATTCATAAAAAATCGTACAATGTGATTTTCTGGATTTTTTTTCTTCACAATTTGCTGTATAGGGCGTGTACCTAAAAAAGACACAGGGCTTTCGATCTTTAAGGCAGAACATTGCAAATCGGTGACGACAAATACTTTTGCCCCACGTATACAGAGGATAAGATACACAGTAAAATAGACAATATACAGGAGGATAAAGGTAACCTATCATAGACAATGATATCGGGATGAACTTGGAAATGAACAAGATATCAGGAGGTAGAACGTTAGAACTACAACAATGGATTTGGAGGATAAGATAACGTTAGGTAACTATAGGACAATGGTATATCAGGAGGATAAAGATAACGTTAGGTAACTTAAGGACAATGGTATATCAGGAGAAAGATACGTTAGGTAACTATAGGGGCAATGGTATATCAGGGGGATAAGATAACGTTGGTAATTATAGGACAATGTATATCAGGAGGATAAAGATAAAGTTAGGTAACTATAGGACAATGGTATATCAGGAGATAAAGATAACGTTAGGTAACTACAGGACAATGGTAATCGGAGGGTAAAAAAACGTTAGGTTAACTATAGGACAATGGTATATCAGGAGTATAAAAAATAACGTTAGGTAACTACAGGACAATGGGATAAACAGGGGGATAAAGATAACTTAGGGAACTATAGGAAAAATGGTATATCAGGAGGATAAAAATAACCGTTAGGTAACTAAGGACAATGCTAATAGGGGATAAAGATAACGTTAGGTAACTATAGGACAATGGTATATCAGGAGGATAAAGATAAAAGTTAGGTACTACAGGGCAATGGTATACAGGAGGATAAAATACGTTAGGTAACTATAGGACAAAGGTATATCAGGAGGGAAAAGATAACGTTAGGTAACTAAAAGGACAATGGTATTCAGGAGGATAAAGATATGTTAGGTAACTATAGGAAATGGTATATCAGGAGGATAAATAAAGTTAGGTAACTATAGGACCAATGGGATATCAGGAGGGTAAAGATAACGTTAGGTAACATAGGACAAAGGTATATCAGGAGGATAAAGATAACGTTAGGTAACTACAGGACAATGGTATATCAGGAGGATAAAGATAACGTAGGTAACTATAGGACAATGGTATATCAGGAGGATAAAGATAACGTTAGGTACCTACAGGACAATGGTATATCAGGAGGATAAAGATAACGTTAGGTAACTATAGGACAATGGTATATCAGGAGGATAAAGATAACGTTAGGTAACTATAGGACAATGGTATATCAGGAGGATAAAGATAACGTTAGGTAACTAAGGACAATGGTATATCAGGAGGATAAAGATAACGTTAGGTAACTATAGGACAATGGGTATATCAGGAGGATAAAGATAACGTTTGGTAACTATAGGACAATGGTATATCAGGAGGATAAAGCTATAACGTTAGGTAACTATAGGACAATGGTATATCAGGAGGATAAGATAACGTTAGGTAACTATAGGACAATGGTATATCAGGAGGATAAAGATACGTTAGGTAACTATAGGACAATGGTATATCAGGAGGATAAAGATAACGTAGGTAACTATAGGACAATGGTATATCAGGAGGATAAAGATAACGTTAGGTAACTATAGGACAATGGTATATCAGGAGGATAAGATAACGTTAGGTAACTACAGGACAATGGTATATCAGGAGGATAAAGATAACGTTAGGTAAACTACAGGACAATGGTATATCAGGAGGATAAAGATAACGTTAGGTAACTACAGGACAATGCTGTATCATGAGGATAAAGATAACGTTAGGTAACTATAGGAAAATGCTATATCAGGAGGATAAAGATAACGTTAGGTAACTATAGGACAATGGTATATCAGGAGGATAAAGATAACGTTAGGTAACTATAGGACAATGGTATATCAGGAGGATAAAGATAACGTTAGGTAACTATAGGACAATGGTATATCAGGAGGATAAAGATAACGTTAGGTAACTATAGGACAATGGTAATATCAGGAGGATAAAGATAACGTTAGTAACTATAGGACAATGGTATATCAGGAGGATAAAGATACGTTAGGTAACCTACAGGACATGGTATATCAGGAGGATAATATAACGTTAGGTAACTATAGGAACAATGGTAATATCAGGAGATAAAGATAACGTTAGGGTAACCTACAGGACCATGGTATATCAGGAGGATAAAGATAACGTTAGGTAACCTATAGGACAATGGTATATCAGGAGGATAAAGATAACGTTAGGTAACTATAGGACAATGGTATATCAGGAGGATAAAGATAACGTTAGGTAACTATAGGACAATGTAATATCATGAGGATAAAGATAACGTTTAGGTAACTAATAGGACAATGGTATATCAGGATGATAAAGATACGTTTAGGTAACTATAGGACAATGGTATATCAGGAGGATAAAGATAACGTTAGGTAACTATAGGACAATGGTATATCAGGAGGATAAAGATAACGTTAGGTAAACTATAGGACAATGGTATATCAGGAGGATAAAGATAACGTTAGGTAACTATAGGACAATGGTATATCAGGAGGATAAAGATAACGTTAGGTAACTATAGGACAATGGGATATTCAGGAGGATAAAGATAACGTTAGGTAAACTATAGGACAATGGTATATCAGGAGGATACAAGATAAAGTTAGGTACTACAGGACAATGGTATATCAGGAGGATAAAGATAACGTTAGGTAACTACAGGACAATGGTATATCAGGAGGATAAAGATAACGTTAGGTAACTACAGGACATGCTTGTATCATGAGATAAAGATAACGTTAGGTAACTATAGGAAAATGCTATATCAGGAGGATAAAGATAACGTTAGGTAACTATAGGACAATGGTATATCAGGAGGATAAAGATAACGTTAGGTAACTATAGGACAATGGTATATCAGGAGGATAAAGATAACGTTAGGTAACTATAGGACAATGGTATATCAGGAGGATAAAGATAACGTTAGGTAACTATAGGACAATGGTATATCAGGAGGATAAAGATAACGTTTGGTAACTATAGGACAATTGTATATCAGGAGGATAAAGATAACGTTAGGTAACTATAGGACAATGGTATATCAGGAGGATAAAGATACGTTAGGTAACTATAGGACAATGGTATATCAGGAGGATAAAGATAACGTTAGGTAACTATAGGACAATGGTATATCAGGAGGATAAAGATAACGTTAGGTAACTACAGGACAATGGTATATCAGGAGGATAAAGATAACGTTAGGTAACTATAGGACAATGGTATATCAGGAGGATAAAGATAACGTTAGGTAACTACAGGACAATGGTATATCAGGAGGATAAAGATAACGTTAGGTAACTACAGGACAATGGTATATCAGGAGGATAAAGATAACGTTAGGTAACTACAGGACAATGCTGTATCATGAGGATAAAGATAACGTTAGGTAACTATAGGAAAATGCTATATCAGGAGGATAAAGATAATGTTAGGTAACTATAGGACAATGGTATATCAGGAGGACAAAGATAACGTTAGGTAACTATAGGACAATGGTATATCAGGAGGATAAAGATAACGTTAGGTAACTACAGGACAATGCTGTATCAGGAGGATAAAGATAATGCTAGGTAACTACAGGACAATGCTGTATCAGGAAGAGGTTGTGATAGAAGCCTGTGCTTTGGCTCTCTGGAGAGTCAGAGATGTTTGGAGTGTGTGGGTGTGTGTCTCATAAGTACCCATAGGGGCCTGATGATTTGTAGGTTATAAAGCCCCACTGGGAGGCTCTTACCTCAGGGCCTGGACCAGGTTCAGGTCGGTGAATTCATGGAGCTCCACAAAGTCATGGAGGACCTGGAGGTTGAACTCATCTCTATAAGGAAAATAATATAATATGTTAATGATTTTCTGAAATCATCGCTAAATTATTTGAGTGTAGAGACAGAGACACATAAAAAGACACAGACACACAGACATTTAGACACACAGCCAGACACACAAACGCACATACACACACACGCATGCATGCGCGTGCACATACACACGCAACACACACACACACACAATCAATACAAAACTGGGGGAGGGGGCACACACAAGGTGACACCTCTATCATGACATCACTCTTCTTGACATCTGTGGCCTTTGGAGTTAGTGATATCTCCCCTAAGATAGGTCCTGGGAGGCCTCCTGTCGATCTCTGACAGGGTCAAAGCCAATCCCAAACTCTGCCCAGGGGGATTCCTGACCAATCAGGGAGAGCACACACACAGTTTGCCCCTCCCGCACCGGAATCAGAAATCTCTTGATACCAATTGGACTGAGCATCCATGACGAGATATGGGTGGTGTTCATTAGGTACCGAATGTAAGAAAACGGACTGAAACAGAGAGGGACTCCCTGAAATGGGTCCAATTATGAAACTCTCATTTACCTTTTCCGTTGCAAACCATTTTAAAACATTGCCCTACTGAACACAACTCAGCTCTCCATTTCCTGGTCTGGCTTCGTCAACTAGCCGACCACACCCAGGCTGTAGCACTATAAGGCAGGCAATGCTCCCTGGGTAATATATACACACTGTCCAGCCATTGGGTGTTGCCTGTTATGTGGCTTTGAATTAATATAAAATATGGTATCTCTTCAGGAGAGACTCTACTTTTTAAAACAAATTCTGCTTCTGCCAACATTCCAGGATTTTTAGGTACTTAATAACATGATTTAGAATGGATGAAGTGGAAATCAAAGACAGATGGACTGTGAAGGAATCGACGCCTCTGTTTTGAGGTCTGAGGGCCTAGATGTGGATCTAATAAAGGGCGTTGGGCGAAAGGGCGTTGGGGTAAAGGGCGTTGGGGTAAAGGGCGTTGGGGGAAAGGGTGTGTGCCTGACCTGACCGAGGAAATGGTGCACTAGGGAAAGTATGTGATCTGGAAATGGGACATTTACATTTTACATTTTAGTCATTTAGCAGACGCTCTTAGCGACTTACAGTAGTGAGTGCATACATTTTTTTCATCTTTGACAGGAAAGTAGTGACGTCCTTCTGAACTACACAGAAACACACACACACACACACAGAAACACACACAAACAGACACGACAAACACACACCCCTCCCATAAAGAGAAGTGGCCGTCACTGCTCTCCCCACTGACCTCTCCCCAAGGTAGTCTCCGATGGCAGTCTTGTTTAGCCCCTCCCCCTTGTACAGGAACTGGGCGATGTCATCACTAGTGTGCTTCAGCAGGTCGTTCTCGATCAGGAACTTAATCCCCTGAGAAAATACAACATACATCCCGTGTCAGACCCTCGTTACAACGAGGGCGTTCCAGGCCGTATTGTTTGTAGCCGTGCAGCGCATATCAAAAGATTGCAATCATTTTGCAGCGAAATCGGGGGTAACCCCAACCGGGACTCAAACATGGGTACGATCCATACCATAATGTCAAGAGGATGGAACCTCCTAATTGATGAGGTTGCTAGGCGTTTGGTTAAGGTCGCTACAATAGATATTGTGGTTCCTGAAACGTCAAACACTTCTCTACACGTTGTCAGATCTGAGAGTTGGCGCAGTGGGACTGCAAAAAACCCACAACCTGGAACAGCACAAGTATATCAAACCCACAGGACACCTTCAGAATGTCTATTTCCCTCAAATTCAACTCTGAACCTGGAAGCCAGTTCCACTGCTTTGTTTCATCGCTCTCTAACCAGGGACTGATTTAGACCTGGGACATAATGATCAAGTAGAACAGAGAAGCAACAGGCTCCGGACCTCGTAGGGCAAGCCTTGAATACCCCTGGGCTTGGATTCCCAAAAGCATCATAGCACTAAGACCATCTTTCGTGCATTTAGTTTCAATGGAATGAAGAAGATCTTAGTGCTACGATGCTTTTGGGAAACCCTGGTCTATTTAATACTCACCTTTTTAGGGTCCATGTTGAATTTCTTTCGGCCCATGGCCACTTGTTTATTCCTCTGCATGTTTTTCCTGCAACATCAAATCAAATATCATCAAATCAAATTGTATTTGTCACATGCGCCGAATACAACAGGTGTAGACCTTATCGTGAAATGCTAACTTACGAGCCCTTAACAAACAATGCAGAGTAAGAAAATATTTGCTAAATAAACTAAAGTAAAAATAAAAAAAAGTTACACAATCAAAATAACAATACGGAGGCTGTATACAGGGGGTACCGGTACCGAGTCAATGTGAGGGGGTACAGGTTAGTCGAGGTAATTGAGGTCATATGTGTCACGTCTCCTCCCGTTGCTCCCCTCCGGCGCTCTGATTCGCCGGTCTACTGAGCCACCGGTCTGAGCACACCACCTCGGCTACACCGGAATCACCTCCAGCGTACCTGCACCTCATCATCTCATCACCACCCCTTCAGGTCGTTTACTCTATCTTTGTTATTTCTCTTGATCATTGTTAAGTAAACCTTGACCTTACACGTCACAATATGTACACGTAGGTAGGGGTATGCATTGATAATACACAGAGAGTAGCAGCAGCGTAAAAAAGGGGGTAAATGCAAATAGTCTAGGTAGCCATTTGATTAACATGAAATGAATTAGAGATACATTATTATTGATTCATCAAACATACAATATCCCCCATTTGTGATGCTGTAAGGGCTGGTTTCCTGGATACTGATTAAGCCTAGTCCTGCACTTCAAAGCACTTTCAATGGAGATGTTCCATTGAGCATGCTTTTCAGTCCAGCACTAGGCTTAATCAGGGTCCGGGAAACTGGCCCCAAGAATAAGTGTTTGTGTGATGCCATGTAAATATAAACTTTGTCCAAAGAGAGAAAAAGTATATTGGAATTTAGCCTTTCATTTCAAATCGATTTGCTCATCTCACATTGGGTCAATATTATGTATTCCTTCACTTATTCATTAAAATAATACTTTCAGGAATTGAACATTTGTCATCAGCTTGGCAGTTAAAATTGCTCCAATGGGCCACTGACGACAACATTCATGATGAAATTGTGACTCAAGAATAAGCATGATGGGAAAAGCATTTTTCAAGCCTGGAGTGTCAAGAAGTCAAAGAAACAAAACAACAGTTTCACCACCTTATTGTCTTTGACACATGGATTGGTAAAGACTCAGATGACTCAGAAAGCTCTTTATACAATTTAGTAAATGGCCAGAGCAAACGAAAGTGCATGTCTGAAAACATACTTTAGGAGGTGGGTGGTGGAATGGAATGGGATCCCCCTCAACTTGAGTACCCCACGGCCCACACTCCAAAGTACCCTTCACTTCTTCCTTCCCTAGGGACCCTCCATTGTCTGCTCTACCCAAACACCTCTGCATTATTGAATAGCCCCCCCATCACGGTGGGTGTGGCTGATGAAACACTTAAAAGCACTAGTCAATGTGTGTGTGTTTGTGGGGGTGTGATTGTATGTGTGTGTGTGTGAGCAAGCGTGTGTGTACGAGTACGTGCATGTGTGTGCGTGGTGTTTTGGGGAGGGGAAGAGGGTTGGTACTATCTGGACATTTGGGTATAAATATTTAACCACAGTCATTTGTTAAGTTAATGGAATACAAACAACAAAGCAATTTGGACTGTAAGAGATAGGAGATGGTAAGGAACCCTGAAGAACCCTAAGGAATCCTGAAGAACCCTAAAAAACCATAAGGAACCCTGAAGAACCCTAAGGAACCCTGATTTTATACTGTTACACACTCACCTCTCCTCAGTGGAACCCAGATTCTCAATCTCACTGGTCACTTCTGCTATCTCATTCTTCAGACGCTGGAAATTAGAGAGAGGAGAGGGTTAGGACCAAACACACACCGAGATAGACACACACACACACACACACTAGAGCATTACACTCAGTCTGAGGTCCCAGGACAGGTTGTGAGGTTCCAGAACATTCTATTTTCTCCTCCAGACACATGAGTACCCACTGTCTGTGCCCACTGTCTGTGCCCACTGCTGCCACCATGCAGTCTCCCCATAACCGTAACCAACACTGACACTAACCACTCCAATCTAATATCAACCGGATGTATATGTGCACTGCAGCAGGTCTCTCTTTCTCCCCAAACACTTTCTTCTTTACAAATCACATTAAAGGGAGGAACATTGGTGAATGACTTCCATACAAATGGAGTAGGGAGCATAAAATGTGATTATTTTGGGGTTGTGTTTGGGAGATTAATGGAGTTATTGCCGATTATGCCTTTTCTGACAGCTCTGTGAGTTCAGTTCCAGAGAGGGAGGAGGGAGGGAGGGAGGGAGGAGGGAGGAGGGAGGGGAGGGAGGGAGGGAGGGAGGGAGGGGGGGAGGGAGGGAGGAAGGGCCAGACGGGCATTCACCAGTCAGGGCCCTGTACGAGGGTGAAACAGGATGGAGACTGGAAGGGGAAACTACATCATGACGGCATGGACACACACACAGCTAATAAAGAGAGGGTGTCAGATCTCTTGTCCTCCTGTGTTTGTCCGTCACAGTCAGCCAGGCCAGGGGATACTAGAGTGTCACAAGGGCCACAGGGCCACAGCAGGGGCCAATCACCTGGCCCGGGGCCATGGTTGCTGTCCTGTCCATGTCCCTCATGTTGACCATTTAACTACATGGATGTTACTGAGAATGACCGGGGTCACCGGACACGCCACAGAGGTCACCAGTGCTTTATATTGCTAGACTCAGAGACTGAGGGAATGCCATCCGTATATGTCTATGCTGTGTGGTAAGATAGATGATACAGTATATATACAGTTGAAGTCGGAAGTTTACATACACCTTAGCCAAATACATTTAAACTCAGTTTTTCACAATTCCTGACATTTAATCCTAGTAAGAATTCACTGTCTTAGGTCAGTTAGGATCACCACTTTATTTTAAGAATGTAAAATGTCAGAATAATAGAATTATTTCTTTCAGCTTTTATTTCTTTCATCACATTCCTAGTGGGTCAGAAGTTTACATACACTCAATTAGTATTTGGTAGCATTGCCTTTAAATTGTTTAACTTGGGTCAAACGTTTCGGGTAGCCTTCCACAAGCTTCCCACAATAAGTTCCTCCTGACAGAGCTGGTGTAACTGAGTCAGGTTTGTAGACCTCCTTGCTCGCACACGCTTTTTCAGTACTGCCCACACATTTTCTATAGGATTGAGGTTAGGGCTTTGTGATGGCCACTCCAGTACCTTGACTTTGTTGTCCTTCAGCCATTTTGCCACAACTTTGGAAGTATGCTTGATGTCATTGTCCATTAGGAAGACCCATTTGCGACCAAGCTTTAACTTCCTGACTGATGTCTTGAGATGTTGCTTCAATATATCCACATAATTTCCCTTCCTCATGATGCCATCTATTTTGTGAGGTGCACCAGTCCCTCCTGCAGCAAAGCACCCCCACAGCATGATGCTGCCACCCCCGTGCTTCACGGTTGGGATGGTGTTCTTCGGCTTGAAAGCTACCCCCTTTTTCCTCCAAACATAACAATGGTCATTATGGCCAAACAGTTCTATTTTTGTTTCATCAGACTAGAGGACATTTCTCCAAAAAGTACGATCTTTGTCCCCATGTGCAGTTGCAAACCGTAGTCTGGCTTTTTTATGGCGGTTTTGGAGCAGTGGCTTCTTCCTTGCTGAACAGCCTTTCAGGTTATGTCGATATAAGACTAGTTTTACTATGGATATAGATATTTTTGTACCTGTTTCCTCCAGCATCTTCACAAGGTCCTTTGCTGTTGTTCTGGGATTGATTTGCACTTTTCGCACTAAAGTACATTCATCTCTAGGAGACAAAACGCGTCTCCTTCCTGAGCGGTATGACAGCTGCGTTTCCCATGGTGTTTATACTTGCGTACTATTGTTTGTACAGATGAACGTGGTACCTTCAGGCGTTTGGAAATTGCTCCCAAGGATGAACCAGACTTGTGGAGGTCTACAATTTTTTTTCTGAGGTCTTGGCTGATTTCTTTTGATTTTCCCATGATGTCAAGCAAAGAGGCACTGAGTTTGAAGGTAGGCCTTGAAATACAACAACAGGTACACCTCCAATTGACTCAAATGATGTCAATTAGCCTATCAGAAGCTTCTAAAGCCATGACATCATTTTCTGGAATTGTCCAAGCTGTTTAAAGGCACAGTCAACTTAGTGTATGTAAACTTCTGACCCACTGGAATCTGTAAACAATTGTTGGAAAAATGACTTGTGTCATGCACAAAGTAGATGTCCTAACTGACTTGCCAAAACTATAGTTTGTTAACAAGAAATTTGTGGAGTGGTTGAAAAACGATTTTTAATGACTCCAACCT